AACCTAAAGAAAGAGAGGCGGAAACAGGGGAGCACAGTGGGCAGCACTTAAATACCCACCGGGAAAAATTCTACTTTTGAATGGATTAGTGATTCAAAAGCAGATAAGAACAAAGAATCGCAGCAAAAGGAGTTTTGGTAACTGTGGGGCAACAGTGTGCTGGAAGCGGTCTGAATTCAGATTCCTGTAAAACAAATGCAGAAACAAGAAAAAGCCCCAAAACAAACTGGAAGTGAAAGTTGGAGGGAATGCAGAATGGAAGAATATGATGTGCTCAGAAACTGAGGCAAAATACAGGTGCAGAAAGGGCCTTTGAGTCCAGTGGCACCTTTAAGACCAACCAAGTTTTATTCAAGGTATGAGCTTTTGTGTGCGTACACACTTCTGTATCTGAAGCATCTGTATCTGAAGAAGTGTGTGTGCATACAAACACCTTGAATAAAACTTGTTGGTCTCAAAGGTGCCACTGGACTCAAACTTTGTTGGACATGTATAGTTAGCCTTGAGCAATAGCAAGGAAAGCAGCAATCGAAAGCACATTTACTTCCAAGTGCGCTCTAAATGTGTTTAGGATGGGTATGTGAGGATCTTAGTAGTCTGAAAACATTAGAAAGATTTAGGATTGAACTACTCTGAATACTGGAACAGAATAAATGTAATAAAATCTATGAAAGTATTAATGCTAAATATTAGGAGCATTGCCTGTCAGTGATATTTATTAAGCTATAGAACATTTTCCCCTGGGATGAGGTAGAGACTTCGTCATCTGAGCAATTTAAAAGCAGTGGAAATTGTGCACTTTACTGCAGAGAACACCCCTCAGTTGCACAGGAAATCAATTGAAAACTTTACAAGTCACTGCCTTTCAAATATTCAGGCCTATAGCAGGGTATTATAAATATTAAGATAGTTTGATTCTGCACACGCTTACAAAATATATGTGAAGGTTTCTGTATTTTGTCTACAGAAGAATTACTCAGACTTAAACATATGCCCATGTATTTGCAAAATCAAAATGTAATTGCCATACTGCAACAAAGGACTCTTGGCTAATGAAATCACATTGATTTAGCATTTTTGTCTGATACAACTGAAGAGACTTGAAAATATGCTCTAGATGTTCAAAAGAGGAGTTTTGAGTTGTTATTGTAAAATACTATGGATTATATGGGATTCCCGCAAATCATTACCCCTGGTTCTTCTCCGTGATAAATGGAGGCATTTTAGTCAGTGGAACAGAACTTTCCTTCCTCCTCCTGCTGCAGCCCATTGGTCTCCCTGAAATGCTGCTCCTTGGAGACAGGGATCCCTCTGGAACAATATAAGAGTCAAGCTGGGAGTCTGCAGCTTGAAGAGGTAATTGGTGGAATTTACTCCACTCCTTTGGTAGTGGAAAATTTAGTCTGGATCCAATCTTAAAATAGCTGTCTGTAGTCCAATTACTCCAGTGTAGTTTGAAAGTTACCCCATAGATGGTGAAAACTAGAGAATGTTTTCAGTGTCCATTAAAGAGCATCTACTTGTTATGTTTTTGTCATTTTGGTGCTTGCACACTTGCGACTTTTCATCAGGAATGCTCAACTTGATATTAGTCCAGTTCTTGCACATTCCCTCGCCCTCACAGCAGCGGGGGTGGAGAAATAATAAGTAAATAAGACTGCTATACTTACTTTAAGACAGTACCTCTCTAATCACCTCATCTGTCCCCATAAAGAATGAGGTTTCTTAAGTGGCAGTCAGGAAAATAGTAGGACTAACTTGACAGATGTGCACAGTATAGGCTGCAAATATTGAAGAAGTGTTTTTAATGGATTGATCAAATTTGGCTGCAATCCTAAGAATACTTCCCGGGTAGTAAGCCCCACTGAATAAAAATAGACCTTACTTCTGAGTAGACCTTCTTAGGCTTGTTCCCTTATAATAGTGTAAGGATAGCTAACATGTTGGCATCTGTCTCCTCATAAGGTTAAGCAGCACTCTTCTGTCAAGGTCATGGGTGGGTGGCACTGTGCTACTAATAATGTGTGCCCACATGGCCAGTTAAGACCCAGGAGCAATACATCCCATGTAACTCACCATCTAGCATCATGGCAGCTGAGTTCAGGAAGCATGCAACTGTACAGAGAAATAATGTGTGTGTTTTACCTGGCACGATTCTTGCATGATTCTCTGATATTAATGTTTCCTGTTAACCTGGAAAAGGAAATGTTCATAGAGCACAGTTCTTGGTTGGGAAATACCTGGAGATTTGGGGGGTGAAGCCTGAGGAGGATAGGGTTTGGGGCATAATGCCATAGAGTCCAACTTCCAAAGTAGCCATTTTCTCCAGGTGAACTGATCTCTGTTGCCTGGAGATCAGTTGTAATAGCAGGAGATCTCCAGCCACCATCTGGAGGTTGGCAGCCCTAGCATGTGGACATTATTTTGCTTTCTTTGCCAGTTTACTGCCTCCTAAGCACAGCTGACGTCATTGACTTGGAAAGCTGTGCACCAGTCACAACTTCTATGCAGCACGCCCCACTGAGCAACTCTTACATCTAGATTCTGTGTGTGGGCCACCATTTGCTAACCCCTATCTTAAGCTGTTTCCTGTAAAAAGGTGAAGTATTCACAAGTGATTGAATACAAACAGTAGTGGTCAAAAATAACTATGTTCTTATCGGTTGTGAATTAAAGGTGTGTGATTTTTAGTCGATTGGACTTTTTCTGTTTTAAGTATGTTGCTGCAATAAGTAACCCAACAAATAGGACGAGCTAGACATATCCTTTGATGTGATGTTGTGTGTTCTCTCTCTCTCTCACTTCATTGGGGTGTGGTAGTTCCGCTGTGCAGCAGACCGGTTGCCGGATCTCCGGAATCTCCAGCAAATGCTCGAGCAGCAGCAGCTCCAGCGAATCTGAGAGCAGTTCGGAATCTGACTCAGAGAGCGAAAGCAGTTCCACTGAGAGTGACTGCAACAAATCTTCTCATTACTCCAACCCAGAGGTGAGGATATCTGTTCTTAATGCTTGGACAGAAGAATTTTTTACATATAATATAAGTAACTTTCACCATGGTCAAAACATGGTAGGAAGAATAGTTACATTTCCAAATCAAAGGAACATTCACCCAAGCAATGTGTTAAAGATCAAGGCAGTTTTATGTAATATCTTAATGAGTGAATTGTTTTATGTGAATGTGCCTTTAAGCACATGCTGGCATTTCATACAATGAGAAAAGGGGGGGGGCCTAAGGCATGATATTAAAACATTCTTTTCAGCCCTTGAACTCTTTGAGGAAAGGTTACAATCATGACCACAGTGTAGCCTAAAGATTTTAAACCATGAGGCTTTAAAGAAAACTCTAGACACTTTACGGAGCACGATGGAGCCCTGTGTGTGTTAAGCAGGCCATTGGCATTAATCTGGTCAGGAGGGTCCTTTTGCCTTCCAGCGGCTGTTGTAACTATTGGCTCAGTGCACAGAATGTCATTCATTTTGGATATGAGTACAGCTGTGGTATAGCAGTTAGAGAATTAGACTGAGGCTGCGATCACATGCGCCTTTAGAGCCAACATAGGTGTGAATGACTGAGTGCACTGGATGACTTAGGCTGGGCTCTCTCTCTCTCAGACGACCCTAATTCATGGGGTTGTCATGAGGGAAAAATAAAGAAAAAGAATCATGCTAAAAGAGGAAAACGTAACAGATCAATGGATCTGAGGCACTCGATTGGCTGTAACAGGGCTAGGGCCCTGCACTTGCTTACAAACACACACACACTCTCTCTCACACCCATCCCACTAACACAGTTTCATGAGTAATGAAATAAAAGTTTCTGTTTTAATTCTGAAAATACGTAAATGGAGCATGTTGTGCAAATGGCCTTACAGCCTTGACAGGGCTTCTTCCTTCAATATGGTCATCTCCTGTCCACGAATGCCCAAGCAACAGAGTATGTCTTACCAACTATATGGAGGCTTACCTCAGAAACAGAAAAGAGGAATGCATGAAATGTAAAATGAGATATGGCAGGGGGTGGAAAGGAGAAAATTAGAAATAGTCCGTATACTATACTTGCCACACAGAAGCCATTTGAAATAATTTTTCACATAATAGACTGCTTCCATGTGGTGCCTTGTTTGTGTGCAGCACCTTACCACACAGATCAGGTAGTTTTCACCTCACCACCACAAATGTCCCCAAAAAGAACTGATCTAAAAAAAACAAAATTGTAAAGCACAATTGCTTTACACAGTGAATGGAGCTCTCTATTCTTTTCACATACAAACTGGCAGTGTTTAAAAAATCAACTAGAAGATGTCTTTCATGACATCTAATCAGCCTATATTGAGAAAGAATTCCACCAGATTCACTATCTGAACTGGTCCCTTCAGATTTTCATATAAGCAAGCTTGTCAGTCACAAACTGCCATAAAATGGAATATAATGTTCCTTGAGCTGTAACAGACAAATATAAACTTCTGTATTATTTACCTGACTCCTCCCATGCACACACACTTTTTTGCTGTCCTTTTATGCCTTGACCCTTGCTTCCCTTCCCCATCTGCTCTTCCG